AGGCATCCAGAACAGGATATGGGAGAGAGGAAAAGATGCCCAAAAGCTCTGAGTTCTCATCTCCACTTACTCCACTAATGCATGGGTAACATTGTCTTTGCTCAGTACCAGCTGAAATCAGCTCCTGCTCCAGAAAGCAGTGATACATGAGGTCCACACCTATCACATACCCAAGCTGCAGCCTGCCTCACTCTCCACTCCCTCTAGTTGGAGAGCAAGTCAACCAGCTCAGTCATCCTGCTGCAGTGAGTAAAAAGGCTCCCTTCAGGCTTAGATCAGCATCAGTCAGCATGCAATGATAACAACAGCCTGGTATGTGCTGATCTGCTTGCTGGGGCCTGAATCTGGACAAGGTGGGATCTTTTTTTTTTTAATTGAATTTGTATCCGAGGCCAAATTAGCCAAAACTGATTCCAGATCCAAGAGTCCAGAGCCATAAGTGGCCCTACTACCGGCCAACATCTTTCACCCACACCTGGGGCTTCAGATGTTTCCAAAACCTTTGGCGGGCATCCTACTCGCAGGCCCAAGCCTGGAGGCATGGGGTTTGGATGCCTCTGAGTTTTGCTTGCCCTTAGCCATAAGGCCCTTGGAGCAAGCAAGGGAGGAGACTCCCATTTCCATAAACTGGGCTTAAAGCTGCTGCACCTCGGCGAGTACTGAAGCACGCCAGAAGAGCAGTTCTCCTGCGAAGTGGTTCAGGAAAACTGTCTTCTTGGACACGTCTACCCCAGATCCTCCATGTTCTAGTATCTGCAGGCATACGAAATGGGTGGCCAAAGGGCACGAGGCAGCATGTTAGTGCAAGCTCATTTCAAAAGGGGCGACTCCCCTTGGCTGGCTCAGGTGTTCACAGTGGAGTCTGAAAGGATGATTGGAAAGTCCCATTTCTCCCTGTGCACTTCTTTCAGCTCTGGGAGCTCTGGGGTGGGTTGGCTGAGAAGGTCTCCCCGACCGCTCAGCCAACACGTGGTAGGAGCTCTCCAGGGACTGTCTAGGATAAACTGGGCTTCATTTTGTGCACAAGAAGTTTGCAGCCCACAGGAAAATGGAAATCACTGGTTTAGTGGGCAGATGTCACCTCCCTGACAGCCCCACACAGGCAGCAGGGTGCTCACTGGGGAAGGCCCAACAGTCTTGTCAGGACTGTGTGACAGAAAACAGATGTTTTAGGTGACAAGACTAGATGGTCACCTTGCTGGGGTCACCTAACCCCCAGTTGTCTTTCCTGCTTGGTGCAGGGGGCCGGGCCCAATGATCTTTCAAGGTCCCTTCCGGCCTTACAATCTCCAAATCTCTGAATCTACGAGATATTTCTTCCCCTCCCATGACCCTGCATTACCTCACAAAACGGTGGAGGGAGGGAAAGGGCCTGTGGTGGAAAACCGGTCTTGTCAAAGTTACTGCCGCCTACCCTCGGGGAGGGGAAAAGGCCCCTAAAACCAGGAAATGGAGAGAAAATAAAGTTTAATTTAAAAAATAAACCAAATCCTGTTTTTATTGCCAAATCCCAGCTCCCTTTCCTCCTTGTCACCCTGGTGACATTGCTTACAGTCACCATGGAAACCTGAGGCATGGAGAGAGAGCATCACAGAGAAAGACAGTGGCAGTGTCTTGGATTATTCTGGGAGGCAGGGAGACACCTGGTGTGAGGCTTTTTATTTTGTGGCAGGGAAGGAGGTGGGGAGGAGAGGAGGGTTATTTTTACTTGTTCCCACTTCGTGTGCCAGTTTTCTTTTTTAAGTGTTCCAAGTTTGGATGCCTCTTCCCCCTCCTTGAGGCCGCTCTCTTCGCCCACCTCCTCCCTCAGCCGTCTTGGTGGCACTGCGCTCTCACATCAGACAGTCACAGAGCTTCCACTGCTCACTTCCCAACCTGCCCCCTTACATCAAGTCTCAACTGGTGACAGGAGAGAGATGCTACCACCACCCAGAAGGTTCTCTCCTCACTTGCCACCGAGCAAGTTGTTGGCATCCCTGCTATAACTCATCAGAGATTTGGATGTCCGCTTGGTGCCACCTCCATGAAATTCCTCTAACTGTAACCCCCCCGCCAGCCCCAAATGGGCAGCAAAGCACCGCAGAGGAATAGGAGTCAGACTGAGGGAGGCAGATCCGTGTCAGATCTTGTGAAGACAGAAGTTAGAAAGAATAAGCTTCTCTTTAGAGGAACAGGTGTTAGCAAAGATTCATGGAGTCATAGATTGTACGAAGCTGGAAGGGACCTCGCAGATCATCAGGTCCAGGCCCCCCCCACCCCACCCCACCCCTTCTAGGCAGGAAGACAGGTGGGGTCAAGCGACACCCCAGCAAGATGACCATCCAGTCTCCTCTTGAAAACCTCCAGAGTAGGTGACTGCACCACCTCTGGAGGGAGTTTATTCCACAGTCTGGACACCCTGACTGTGAAGGAGTTTTTCTTGGTATTAAGCCTGAAGAGCATCAAAGAGGTGAAGAGAAGCTCCCATCATTTTTTAAATCAACAAGACTAATTCAGTTTAGAAACTCAGGAAGTGACAGGTCAGGGCTAAGGTGAAAATGGCACTCCATCATGAGAACAGGACAGTTAATCACTACCCCACTGTCTGTGTCCAGGTTAACTGAATTAAAGGCAGCTTTCATGGCTCCAGCTACCAGGTTTACCTCTTAAAGACAAGCTCTCCTCCAGTCCCCAGTGAAGCTGCTTTTTACTACAAGTGGGTGCCAATGGTTGATTCCATCTGAACTTGGAGTCTCTTGCTCTGGCTTTCGGAGGAAGTGCAAGTTTGAAGGTGCAGGTGGCAAATGCATGGATTTCTGTGGCTGGGTCAGCATTGGACATGCATAGGCACAATTTAACTAGCTGGAGGTGATATAAGGCATGTCAGGTCAATGCATCATAAGCATCCAGGAACAATAGAAAGCTGAATCAGACCCTGAAACTGCATACGGTTTAGAGTAGACCATCAGAGAGGCCAAGCATCCTCCACTGAATGGAGAGGTCACCTTTTTAGCCAGAACCACAGTGCTTCCCTCTTTCAATCAATACTGCTTCCATCTTAGATGAGTCAGTCTTCATTCAGCAGTCCCTCAGCTGGGTCCTGCTTCACTCAAGCACTGGCCACCCTGGAAACTGAGGTGGGTGCATTTGTTAAGGTCATAAGCTAGGTACTGTCCATGTGCTGATGGCAAATTAATCTGTAGTGTCTTCCTACAACCTCACTTGGTGCCTTCATCGGGCAATGAGTGAGGGGGCAACAAGAGAGATTCCAGGCAAAAATGGCTGCTATGGGAAGTTTCTCTCACGGTTATCTGAAAAGAACAGGCATAGCTGCTTAGACAGTCTGCATGCACTGCTCAGGTGCCCCATTAACAGACAGCACTTTATGCTTCAATGTAGGAAAGGTTACTGAAAGCTCTAGCAGAAGTAGCCAGAATGCACAGCCTCCATGTATTGCCACGGCCAAGGGATCTGTCCACATCGAACATGCAGCCTCCTGAAACAGCTGAGACTAAAGCTGAAGTGAGTAGATGCTGATGGAGATTTTCTACCACATCTTTCTCAATTACTTTTCTTTGGGAAGAAGAATGCAAGTCCAAGCAGTATTTTCAGAGATGCCTGGTGCTACATGTTTGTTCCTTCAGCCAAGGAAGGTTATGTGCTTCAGGGCAGCCACCAAGCCTTTCCCAGTGTGATTTCACAGGTCAACTCTGAAAACAGTGGGGTCCGATATTCTGTTGCTCATCAGTGAATAAAAAGTTAAGTCACCTATTATGATGCCATCTAGGGACTGGTGGGTCTCATTGCTTCCCTGCGATTCCCTCCTTCACCAAGTCTTCCTACTGCCCCGCTGATTCACTCTTTCACAAAGACAATATGGTTGTATCATGCCCCTCTGTACCTGTTTGTGCCTTTTGAAGCTGGGAAAAGAAGAACAGAGAGCAAGGCTGAGAAATGCAGAAAAGTAGGAGTGCTGTGGATCTCACTGGAGAACAAATGTTGTGGGCTCAGCTCACAACTCTTACAGTGCGGCTGCTTAGCTTACGGAAAGGAAAACAATTCTCCAGGTTGGGCAGGTTGGTGGCATGCCTTTCTCCCAGAAGGACAAAATTATTCTAGTCTATTCTATTACTTTGGAGAAGGGAAAACTGGGACTGTATGAATGTAGGAGAGGAAGTTATGTAGATGAGGGAACCTTTGGGTTACATAGGGAAAAGGGGTTATTATATTATAGGGGAGAGATGGGTGCTTAAGAGGGCGGTGAGAGCGGTTAAGTCATAGAGGGGACCTGATGATTTCCTCATTGTTAACACCCTTAGGCACCCATGGAGGAACTCTTGGCTACTCAGGAGGTAAGAGCACCTGACAATCTCTTTCTTTGCTAATTTATGGCCATCTCACTCTTTTCTGGGTGATGCAATGAAAATGAAGGGAAAGGGAACCTTGGCCTAGCAGATGCATGAAAGGCATCAGGAAATAAGGAAGTGACCAGAGGATTATAGAGAGAGGCAGCAATAAATAATTACAGCAACCTGTCATGGATGCTAACATTGTCCTGTCCCAGTCACTCTCCCTGCACCAGCTGACCGAGAGGAAACAAAACTGAGCAAGGCAAAATGCAGGGTGTTTCAGAGCCTCTTCTCTGAGAGCAATCTTTGCTAGACTGGGGAAGAGTTCGCCAAGGAACATGGTGCAAACTCCACCTCTGGAGTCACTGAACACAGGTCTGAACAAAGCCGCAGGGAATATAATGCAGGGAGGCAAACTTGCACAGCTCAGACCAAGACGGGGAGCTGAGGTGACTGAACCGGCCTTTTTGTCTCTAAAGGGTCCACTTCTGACGCTGCCAGCACTGTGATCCCTGATTCTGACAAAGTTTGATTATTTCCATCTGTCTTTTCCCCTTTAAGGATATTTTCTGTTGTAATTTGAGAAGACCAAAGGGGGGGAAAAAAAAGGAAAATAGCTCAGTTATTCCCGCCGCCGCCTCTTCCCTCCCTCACCCTCCCCATCCAGACAGGAGCCACGTCACCCATTGCCTGTAGTGGAATAGCTAAAGTGAGCTCGGACTAGGGCTTTCTTGGGGACAAGACCCTGCTTTGGACTGGAATAGATCTTCCTGGGAGGGGAGGGAGGGCAAAGATTCTCTTTAGGAATTGCAGGGAGAGAAGAGGCTAGGTAGGAAGTGGGTTTGATAAAACAGACATTAAATATAGCAGGAGGGAAGCACATCCTGGGAGAGAGAGCTGTGCTGGAGAAAGTTTTAGCACCAGGCAAGAGAGTTTTACTTCATCTCTGCCAGAAGACGGGAAAGAGATCTCAGACTTAGAGAGAAAGAAGGTTTAATTAGGAGGCAGAGTCAGGGGCAAAGAAAGATCCACTGTGGTTTTAACAAGCAAAAGAGAAAATTGGTTGGGAGAAAGCAGGGGAGTCCCCCAGCCTTCCCTGCCACTCAAAATTAAACTTTGACAAGTTTTTGGAACAATGAATGTCTTCCGGATCCTGGGAGACATCTCCCATTTGCTGGCTATCATCATATTACTGGTCAAGATCTGGAAGTCTAAGTCCTGTGCTGGTGAGTCTTCCCCACCCCACCTGCAGTCTTTTTTTTGTGTACTTGGGAAGGAGAGTCCCAGTTGGCAGCCTTGGTCTCAAGAGCCATTGAGGGGAATACTCTGTGGAGATTTGTGGGCCTTGGTGAGACACTGCTGCTACCAGGGCTGATAGCAATCTGTTCAAACTTTGCCTGACCATTCCTTTATTGGGTTCCTGGAAAGAATTAAATGCAGCTCTCTCCTCTGTTCCTCTCTACTTCTCCCTGATTGGAATCTCTCTGCTCTTTCCCCACCATTCCCCTCTTCTGCTGATGCACCTTATTTTATTGGTGGGTGGGTCTCCCTTAGGAGCTTCCCACTCTGTTAGCAGACATAACTCAACCCAGCATTATTTCCTGGGACAGACCCAGACATGGATATGGGCAAACCAGGCAGCTGCCCAGGGCCTAGACAGAAAGGGGGCCTGAAAATGAAAATAAAAATTACAACTGCATAACAAAGTTTTAATATTGCACATATACATATACCTAATCCTGTGTTTTTATTTCCACAAATTTGGTTTATATGTACATATGGTAATTTTTTTTTCCATTGCCCGATTATTATCATCATTATCTCCGGTGAAGGGGGGCCCAATACTTAAAGTTCACCCAGGGCTGCCAGGAGTCTAGGTACGGCACTGTCCTGGGG